TTGGTTTTTGGCTATGAAAGGGAGAATAACAGAATGACAGCTCGAGAAACCTAGAGATTGTCTAGTGAAGTATTTTAAGAATGGGATAAGTTGATCTCGGAATATTTGTAAGCAGTAAGAAAGGAGCCAGTAAATACAGATTAAAAGTTGATTGGGGAGGGGGGTGAGGGAGATTATCAAGGGGAGGAAAAGTTCCTGGAGACAATGGGATCACAAGACAGAGTTAAGGGATTGGCATTTGCAGGAAGACTCAGGTCTTTCTCCAAGACTGGAGCCGAGGAGGAGAAAGTGGGGAATAATGCTGGGATTATCTAAAATATTAAACTGGACAAAAGAAGGAACTTTCAACAGAGGGCTTTGGCTTTTTATTTTGTTTTTCTTTTCAGTTAAGCACAAGGTTAGTAAAACAATGGAAGGGAAGAGGGGGAATATAAATGGTTTGAGGTGCTTCTTGTTTTTATAAAATGAAGGCATTGACCTAGATAAGAGATTCTTAACCTGGGATCTATGGACTTGGTTACTTAAAAATATTATGACAACTAACTGTATTTCAACATAATTTGTTTCCTTTATAATAATATTTTATTTGTACATTTTAAAGCGTTATTATGAGAAGGGGTCCATGACTCAAAAGAAGTTAAGATCCCCCTGGACCAGATGACCTTTATTATTCCTTCCTCTCTCATTGCTGTAACACTTAATTCTGTATAAAAAGAAAAGTGAAAGGTGGGAGGGGATGGGAGTGAGAGATATAGAGGGAGGTAGAAAGGGCAGATAGATCAAGAGATTGGGAGAGAGTGAATGAGAGAGAGATGGACAGATGCATGGATGGATGGATGGAGGGATGGAGGGATGGATGGATGTTAGGTGACCTCCCAGTTCCTATGGTGATGCCTCTTAGCAAAGCTATCAAGTAATTATTGTGAGGAAAGTACTTTGTAAATTCTGAAGTGCTGGAAACCATCATTATGCTAAATACTCCCAGGGCTCCTGCCACAATCTCTTATTACTCATTTTTTCTACTTCTACCATCTCACTGAAGAAGAAAAAATACACCTGAAAACCTGGGAAGGTTACCTCTGTGTGACTTTGAAATTCTTAACCTCCTTTGCTATTTAAAATAGAGTAGCTTTTAACCCCATACAATCTTAAATACTGGAAAGAGAAACCGTACATTACCATAGCAACCTAATCTCTGTTAATCAAAACAGAGAGTCTTATTTTTTCCTAAAATAATGTAATTTATTTAAAAGCTTTAAAACACAAAGCTTGAAAAGTTAACATTCCTTAGTCTGGGGTACAATCAAATTGATCCTCTGGAAGAATTTAAACAATCCCCCACCATGAACATTTGATTAAGTAAACAGAAAGGCTGGAAGAGAAGTAGCCTAGGCTTTCTGGAGTCATGTGGAGGATGAGTTAGCAGTCAAAAAAGTAAATATCCCCTTGTTTCCAGACAGCTTCCTACTGAACAGCCCCATGGAACCTTGGAACAAAGCTCCAAAGAGGTAACGTACACAGATCGATAGCCACAATATGACACCAATGCAGAAAAAGCTACTTAGGTCAATGGGCAAAGCTCAGCTAACATAGGGCAGTCATCAGGGCAAAAGTGCTGATGAGAACAGGAATTCAAGACCAGTAAAAAAAATACCACTCAAGACAAGGAAAGTAAAAGCTAAGAATTTTCAAAAAAATTAATAGAATGAGGGAAAAGGGAATAAGAGGAAGTCAGATCTTACAGGACTTGGGGAGGCAGAGGCAGAAAAAAGGCCAGACAAGTAGGACACTTTTGAAAGTCACAGGTTGAATTTATTATATGCTTTAAAAGAAAAGTGAGCTATCTATAAGAAATCTACAGTTTTATGTATAATCTTCTTTTTCTGTTCTACAATGCATAAGCAAATAACAATCTATTTGGCATTTTGAAATTCAGAATAAAAATAAAATATTTTTAAAATAGACTATAATTTAGTAAAGCTTAGAGTTTGGAGCCCTTCTAAACAAGGAGGTACCAGAGGAACTTTGCATAGCAGTGTGTGTATGTGTATGTGTGTGTGTGTGTGTGTGTGTGTGTGTGTATAAGCATATACATACACAGATATATACACACTATGTATACAGAAAAAGGAGTCATAAAACAGCATGTGTTAAGTGCTTACTAAGTACAGAACTATGTGGAATACAAGTAGAAAAATGGAGAGAGCCTCTGATCTCAAGGAGCACCCATTCTAATAGAGGGAGATAACTCATAGAGGAGGTTTTAACTGAAAGTCAGATATGAAAGATCCCAAGGTTCTTAGGGTATAATGGCAAATCTTATGGTAATGCATCTTCTTTAATATCTCTTTCACTGTTAAAATCATACCCAATCCTGATATCAAACTATTTGACTATACCAAGGACTTGCAGGTGAAAAGTGTCTTTTCTGGATTTTTAGTAGCTGCAGTTTCTGAGGAGGTAAGGATCTCAGGGGGAGAAGCAATTGCTAAGTTGCATCTCCAAAGAGGTTGCTTTCCAAAAAAAAAATGATTTCCAGGACCGGACTGGAAGTAGAACCAGTGGTTTGTAATGGGGGTGGGAAGGATGGAGTTGAACTGCCTGCAGGTGGTGGTTGGTTAGCAGTTGGCGTTGGTGGTTCAGAGAAAGGTCTACCCATTCACCAAAGTGATTGTTCCCCTCATTGTTAGCTAAGACAGCCTGGACTGGAAGCAGGGCTCTTTGTCTGGGAAGCATTACTATTTCCAGAACTGTTAGATTCGCATTGAGAAGGTGCTTATGGGATAACTAGGTGGCACAGTGGATAGAGCACCAGCCTTGAAGTCAGGAGGACCAGAGTTCAAATCCAGCCTCAGACCCTTGACACTTAGTAGCTGTGTGACTCTGGGCAAGTCACTTAACCCCATTTATTCCCTAGCCAGGAGAGAGAGAGACAGAGAGAGACAGAGAGAGAGAGAGAGAGAGAGAGAGAAGGTGCTTATTTGCATTAGTAGAAGACTTGTCCTCATCAGGACTTCTCCATGCTAACGAGATCATGGGTCCAGTCCCAATCCTATCCCATGGGTCAAAGATGGGATTTGAACATGGGTTGCTGATTTGGATTTCAGTGTGCTTTCTACTGTACTCTTTGTATCACCCCCATCACTTAATGCAAGGCTGGACTTAGAGTAAGCACTTAGATGATTTTCCATTCCATTCCCTAGACTGTACTGCTGCATCAGCATGAATCCATTCTCACTCCTGGGTAGTGCTTCTCAGTAATGGTATCATCCTCAGAAATTATTCCCATGAAGGGGCAGGGTACTAAAAATTGATCAAGGAATTAAACCTGCCCTAGGTTTACCAGTCACGGGAAAAAAGCCAAGATTCCCCACTGGAAATAACAGGACTTTACTTCAGAAAAAAAAGGATCTCAACAAAAAGAAAAGATTATTTAAAAGCCCAAGAGCAAATAGTCCAATAAAGAAGATACATAAATAAGAGAGTGATTTTAAAACACACACATGCACACATATACACACACAACCAATGCCTACCCACCCAGATCTAATAACTTATGTCAACGAGCTGGGCCAATAATACAGATTTCACTTAACCAGGAATGTGTGACCTAAAGATCATCAATGAAGTTATTTTAAGGAATTTTTTGGACAGGTTAAAAGAAACAGAATGTAAAATGTAATAGAGGAATAAAATAACAATAGCAGCAGTTTGTATGGTGTGTTAAGGTTTACAAAGCTCTTCTAACATGCCTCCTTTGATCTTTTCGACATCCTGATGTGGGTGGTAGTACAAAAATTATTATTCCCATTTTACAGATAAGCAAGTTAGTTTCAAAGAGGTGACATGACTTTTTTAGTGACTGAATCTCAGATAAGTTAAGTGACTTGCCCAAGGTAATACAGACAGAGAGAATCCGTATTCCAACCCAGGTCTTCTGACTGAATCTTAGAATTATTTTCACTAGAACATGTGGTTTCAGAAAGTTCCCATCAGTCTTATGCAAATTCATAATATGTAATAATGTAAGGTAAAACAAATTGCAAAATCTCTGAAGACAAATTTCTAGAGACTAGAATACATTGTGCACAGTTTCACTTACCCTAAAAGACCGAAATAAACCAAACACCTTCACAGTTAAAAATACATTCTGCTTGCAAACACTTGGTCTACCTTTTTTATTCTGTAAAGAATTAGATTTCATTTCTGTAAAGACTTTGGAAATCAGGTTGAACTCTGTTCCCAACCCCCCACTTCCACTTCTGCCTTATCTCCAGCATTTCTTTCATGTAGAATCATTATTTAACACATTATTCATGACACTCAGTCTCTAAGGATAGGTCTGATTACCAAAAATGAAATCATTACAATGTTATCATTTGCAATCTGCAAAAAACAAAGGACATTCTCATCTTTAAGAGCATGTTACAGTGGCTTACTTTACTTTGCTAATAATCCAAGCCCTACCCCTTCCTAGATCATTGGGAACCAAAATATTAGCAACACAAAATGATAACCATTCTCCTCTCCAGGTTCGCATTGGACATTTTCTCCAAACTCACCAAAATGTACCATCGAGCTTTCTCCACTGCTTTGTAACAGATGGCAATGTGTCTAAATGAATACTAGTACTGTCTCAACAAGTAGAGTGTCACAAAAAGCTGTGCACAGCCTCCCTGACCCATCTTATGGGCTCATTTCTCACTTTGGGTTTATTTTAAACTTGCAGTCTTTGTTAAGAAATATACTTAGCCTTTGACTCAAACTCAACTTCATAAGCAATTTTCATTGCAGCCTTCTCTTGGTCCCTTGAGGAACTGTTTCCCTTTATACACTCTAAGTTAGCATCAGCTTCATTGCATAGTTATCTCCATCGGCCCTGTGCAGAATAGAAAATGGCATCTGAAGATCTTTTGGGTATGGTACTTGACTAACACATTGCATTCAAGGGAAAACATTTCGTTGTTCTTTCAATAGAACTATTTAATGCAAGATCTTACCTCTGAATTGTTCAGATGGCATTTGTGAGTTCCTGAAAACCAGCCATCGCTTGAACACTGGTCAATGTCTACCTTCTGAAGATTTATGTCAACTTTTATGACACCTCTGAGAAAAAGAAAGGCAGAGACAGAGAGAAAGAGAGAAAACAAGAATTAATGTGGGCATTGAAGACCTCAAACTCTCCATTCTACCCTCTGAACCAGATATAGTAACATAAAGAAAAGTATAGATGAAGGAAAAATCATCCAAATTGCTAAAAGATGACAGGATGATCACAGAAAAAGCCAAATTAAATGAAAGTTAACATAAGGACTTTGCAAACCTCAAATCACTATGTAAATGTAGCTATTATAATTATTCATATTGGCAGAAGAAATTCCCAGTTGTAATACTTCTGATGTTTAGGGCCAATAGCATGGTGAAGGCATGCTGGCAACCAAGGGGAGAGGCTGGTACAAAGAAACATGGCCATACCATTTCCCACTCTACCCCCTTTTCAGCATTTCTGCCAAGTAGGAAAATCAATGCAAGATCACCTAGAACCATAGAATTTCAGATTTGGAAGAGACTTTGGAGGTCACTTAGTCCCACCATAATAATTTTACAAATTAAAAAAAAATTTGCTTAGAGAAAAGATATAGTTTTCCCAAGACCACATGACCAGGACTAGAACTCTAGGCCCAGAGTTCTTCATGCCACCTGAATGCTTCCACCCCTCCTCTTCCTTCTTAATTTAATGAGGAAACAGAACAGAATCATGTTGAAGTGAATTGGAAAAAAACATGCATACATATACACATAAATAAACTAATAAATAGTAAACAGATAAATAAATGAATGGATAGATTGAATGAATGACTAATGATAGAGGCAGCTAGGTGACACAGTAGATAGAGCACGAGCTGAGGCTGGAGTCAGAAGACCTGAATTCAAATGTAGTCTCAGACACTTACTCGCTGGGCAAATCTGAGAATGGTTGTTGTGAGGATCAAATGAGATAGTATTTGTAAAGCGTTTAGCACAGTGGCCTGGCACATAGTAGGTGATATAAATATTGTATTCTCTTCCCCCTTTAATAATAATAGTAATAATAGTGGCATTTCTATAGCCCCTATTATGTGCCACAACAACCATGCAAGGTAGGTACTGTTATTGTCTCCATTCAGTAGTTGAGGAAACTGAGGCAGACAGAGGTTAATTGACTTCCTCAAGGTCACACAGCTACTAAGTATCTGAGGTTAGATTTGAATTCAGGTCTTCCTGACTCTAGGCCCTACACAACCTGGATGTCCTAAAGACCTGTAAATTAGATCAGTGATCTAATCTAAATCCCTCACCTGTACACAAGAAATCCAGGACCCAAAGGTAAGGTCATTCTCCGAAGGTCACCCAGGCAGTACATAGCAGAGGCTAGTCTTTTACTTTCTTTAAAAATCACACCATGTGGGTAATTATTATTTCAACCTACACATTGATTCTGACCTAAACATATTTAATTGGAGCTGCTGGGCATGGAATCACATAAACCTTATTCTGGTTAAGTTGTTAATTTACCTAGAGCAAAGAAGCCAGAGTTGATGACCTCCCTAATTTCTGTGCTATAATTCTATGACCTGGGATAAGTTTTGAAGAAAGTGGAAAGCATGAGAAGACACACTTTGATACATCTGGTAAATTCTTGTTATGCATTAATCTCATTTCTAATATTTCTAACTTATTCTAGCTATCATAAGGTCAGTATATCATCTTTAATACTGACCTTACGATAACTAGAATAAGTCAACAGGCAATTTTTTTCCATTTTCCTCCCCAGAATAAATTGCATTATAATAAGTGGGGCTACCTCCATCCGCTTCACTAAATGCCTGAATTGTCAAACCAGAGAATGGTTCTTCCCCCTCCATTTTGTTGACCTGTATGCCTGATATGGCAATGGAATATGAAGAAACACTGTTTCTTTGTTTTCATAGCAACACACCTGGGGCATGGACACCTCTGAGACCCTCTGGCTTGCATCACTCAGATGCTATCCTTTGATTACCCCTGGAATCTTCCCATAGAACTGAGCTCCATAGGGGATGGCCATCCAGGATGAAATCTTGTCCATACTCCTGACTCTGCTTTGGGGATTGCTCAAAGAGAAGTCAGGCAGCCAGTCCAGCCCAAAGAGTCATTATGACTTAGTCTACTGTATTTGGTCATCTTCTGTAGCTAAGAATCATTTCCAGAATGTAATAAAGGTAATAAAAATGTTCAAATAAATGGCATTTCCTTTTGTCCTGCCTGAGCAATGATTCATTAACTCTGGTAGGAAGTGTTCCTAAACTGCCTGATGAAATTGACAGCTAATTGCACAGAAGCCTTAGCACAGTATCTGGCACACAGTAGGCATTTAATAAAAATGGAGACACCAGGTGACACCATGCAAACAAGAGCCATCACGAGCATTGTGTTTGCAATAGTCCTTTCTGTGGAGAAAGTCACTTCAGATGGTGGCAAATAAATTGACAGTTAACGTACGGTAAGTTTTGCACCCAGCCTGAGTGCCCTAACCCAAATGAAAGACTCAAATTTCCAATTCAGTTCATGAAGGTTTTTTTTTTTTGCCCCTTTTTTTTTTGAAGAAAATGAGGCAAGGTGAGGAGCTATGGTTTCCCAGCTGAGAAATCAAGTGCTGACTCATCTTCATTAGAGCCACACTCATCACACCTGGGAGGCTTTACAAACCCTCTGGGAGAACAGGGCTGACTTCCTGTTGGAGGAAGTGTGGGATTTGGCTTTTAATTGGTAAGAAAAGAACCTCTTTCTTTTTCTTTTCTTTTTTCACCCTGGGAGAGATAAATGCTCTGCTCATTGCTTCACCACAACCAAAACACAAGAAGCATTTTCGAGTCCTCTCCAGAGCCATGGAGTGGGGTTAAAGCTTCTCATTTTGCCCTCTGAACCAGCTCCCACAAGGAGGCAGGACCCTTGGGAATATAATTACCAGCTCTGTATCTGCTGCTTGGCTGAAGATGGAGTAATGGTGGTGGGAAAGGTGTCTTGGGGGAATGGGGCAAGGATCGTGAAATGAGATAAAAGAAAGGCATCAGATCCCAGGAAAAATAATACCTGGGGAAAGCAGCAACTGAAGATAAACCCAAAGCATTTGGATGCAGGATAGATCAAACAGGAGTCTTTCAATAGGTGATTGCTGCTCATAGTGGGAGAAAGATGAGTCATGCAAGGAGTCCCCAGTTTAGGGGTAGACCCAGGTCCTCCCAGCGTTGGTGGTAATTGATATTTGGAGGGTATTTTGCCACATAAATAAGTTATAAAGAGTGACTAAATTACCAACTTAGCCCTCAAAAATCTAATCAACTTATAATATGCCTGAATCATGTTAAAATAATAGCCTGAATTATGGGAGCAAGGAAGTCATGTAATATATTAGAGAGGTGAGAGAGAATGCATCCCCAAATGTCTCCAAGGTGCAGAAATAGTCTAGAGGGCAGAGTACTGAAGAATGTACTTGTTAGACAGGTAGAGATACCAACTATGCTATTTCTTAGGTAGGAGACACAGGAGGGCTTCTAGCACCTCTCTCACTAGCAGGTTCACTTTTGATCCGGTCACACAGGAAGATAGGAATGGAGTCATAATAAGGGGTTAAATAAGGTTACCTTATTCTAGTCTAGTCTTCTCAAAAGGAGTTCGCTGATAATGGGAGCTACAACTCCTACAGCATGCCCTAACAACCCTTCTCACAGGGGCCGGCGTGAAGGGGGGGGCAACTACCCCCTTCATCTTGTTGGGGTCAATCGAGACCAACACAACTTGTGCACTTCCCTAAATCCCCTCAAGCCTCAATGGGGGCTGGTTGAGGCAAACACACAGATTCTCCCTCCCAAGCATTGATGGGGGTCCATCAAGGCACGCACAGTATTCAGCCTGCACATTCACCCCTAAGGGGGTCCCCAGTCGCTGACCAGTGCCCACTTGCTTTATAGGGCAACAGACAAAGAAGTCATATTGCCAGCAATAGCCTCACAATTTTACATTACTTCATCCCTGTATCTACTACGATTGCACAGTAGAAATTGTTTTCAACCATGATCATGAGAACTCTTATCTAATACCTGGGAAGTAGAGATTGTTATGGCTACGAATCCTGGGAAGAAAACTCTAAGAAAGAAAAACAAAAATCTACTTTGCACACACTAAGATTCACCTTACATACAGTAAGATTTGTCTTCGATACTGTCCATCCTCCCTTTTTATGTTCTTCTACAGTCTCAGGTACCCAGTATTATGACATACTGTCCTCACCTAACCAAGCTTTGACCTATGGCCTAAAAGCTCCAAACTCCCAAAATACTGACCTCTTTATTGATGTGAATGATTAAGTCACAAAAGGCAACTAATTGTTAGAGTAGCCCAAGTCATGGAAAGTTTGAATATCTCATCCATAACTAGAAGTGATCATCATAGTTCAAAGAATTCCCTTGAAGATTCTTAAATATTCCTGATACAGATATTCTATTCTGCCATGTCATTTAAGAAAATTTTGCTGGGACTGATCTAACAAAAAAGACAAAATCTCTATGTGGGTTCAGAGAGAGAGAGAGAGAGAGAGAGAGAGAGAGAGAGAGAGAGGTTTTTACTTGCTTGGCAATATTCCCTACATTCCAAAAAGGACTCCATCTGAAGTAAGATAAGTTTTCCCAAGTCTCTCCAGGTACTATTCTACAAACAAGGTTGTGACCAATTAAAAAACTGAAAGATCCAGGGGAAAAATGAAGATCCAGAATCAGGGAATGAAAAAGCACTTTTCCCAGCTAAAATGCTAGAAGATTCAAGCAAAGATGAAGAGTCCCACAGATGAGTGATGGCTTTGGAATGAGCAGACCCATGTTAAAATTCTGCCTCTGTCTTTTATGACCTATGTGATCTTGGCCAATATCATTTAACCTCTATGAGGCCTCAGTTTCCTCATACATAAAAGAGGGAGTTAAACTAAATGACTTTTAAGGTCTCTTTTTTAGCTCTAGATTGATGAAATAACAGAAATGAACTGTTGGATCCATACTACCATGAAGACACAGATGCTAAACCTGCCTCTGACA